ACCGATGTCATCATCGTCGTCGGCGCTTATCAAGAGATCATCGGTGCCATTCCACGTCGGGACCTCGGTGATGGTCGTTGGTGGATCCAAGCGACCTAAGGCGATCGCTTGCTCTATCCTGCGAGATGACTTAGGGGCCGTATTGTCTTAGGCGTCAAGTCTTAGTTTGGTCAAAATTTGAACGCTGACGTTGAGCGGGTGAAATCCGATCCCAACAAACAATACTAATAATATGTTGTCTCAGAGTTTTAAATTTTTTTTCATATATCAATTTATGTAAACATGTTTTTTGTTTTAAAACATTTTCATTATAATCTATATAAATAACTTGCAAATGCACAAACTTATACAATTCGTTTTTAGTTTTAAGTACTAAAATAGTTTTAAGAATTAAAATAAATAGACCAATTCGCTGTAAATAAAAATTTTATATTTAGTCAATGTACTAATTTAAAATACTCTTTTTGACGTTCAATTTCTTAGCATACCCAACGACTAGAGCCATATTTTTTCTTTGATAGAGCCATTATAGAGAAAGAGAAAATATCTTCCAACTAAAAAAAAGTGTCTCCCAAACAAAACGCCGTTTTGACCAACGAAAATATACAAAACATGCGAATATTTTGAACGCCTAAATGTCAAAAACAAAAAAAATATCACTGGGCCTAAATTGGGCCAATACTATAATACGCTCACCTCGGCCCAATTTAAAACGTTATCTTCGTCTCTTTCTCACTCTCATTCATTTTCACAAAAGCAAAAATAGCTTCGACTCGATCAAGAAGTACACAGAACCATCAAATCAATGGTGGTGATGAAGGTAAAAAACGTTACACATATCTAATCATTTTATCTTACAAAAACCCGTCTATGATCTTTATCTGAAAAATCGAATTTAACCAACAACAACAACAAAAGTGTCTGGTTCTGTTTTTGAAAACCAATCACAGATCAAATTCACCAGATTGAGATGAATAGAAGAAGAAGAATGGTGAGAGATAGTGTCGAGAGAGAAGCGAAGTTTCTCTGTGCAGAGTTTGGTAGAAAAGGGTATGAATCTGGTGGAGGTAACATACATTCATCGCCATTAAAGTAAACTTTTCTAGGAAAAGCCCAACCTTGCTTGAAAGTGAAAGTCTTTACATCTTTCTGTAGCAAAACCTCTGATTGAACATTCCCTGAAGGTCCAGCTTCCATTAATAGATCATTGTAAAACTTCGTTCCATAGAACATTCCAGTATCATCTGCAAGATTAAGAAAATTGAGTCTTGCAATGTTTGGATTTTAAAGGTTGAGAAGTTGT